AAATGACTCCCAGTAGACCCTCATTTTCAAAGACCTCTGGCTAGATTGGGGGCAGGGGGCTGCACTGAAACCAGGATTGTCCCCTGGATTTTGAAATCTTAAGAGCATAACCCTCTTGTATTAAAATTTCACTGATTCGTTTCAGTTTATGTGGTTTACAGAAACCTCCTTTCTCCTGAAAAAAACAACAGAAATTCTGGCTGTGTCACATTCCTGGGAGGTGTAGGACACAAGAAGTGTTCTGCTTCTGTCTTGAAAAGCCCATGGGGAACCAGAGAGATCCCAAGCCTAGTGTTTCCTGGGGAGCAAGACCGATGCTGGAAAAAATATCAAAGGAAGACGCAATTGATGAAGTGGAGAGTGAGTGTAGCTGAGAGACTTACGTGCAAGTTTGGGCTTTGTCATTGGGCTGCTGTGTGACTTTGGGCAGACACCATCCTATTGTGGGCCTTTAACACATGGACTTTGAAGGCAAGAAGACAGGACGCTGTCTAAGTGCTTTTCAAGCTTTGGTACAAACTGTGACCCTGGGTTTTTCTACTGCTGTCCCTAATCACCATTACAGCCTGCACACAAATCCTGGGAAGGGGTGGGTGTGGGTGTTGGTATTTTTCTTCTGTTTGGGCTCAGATTTACTGTGACTTGTCTACCTTCTTGTGGATGTGACAGCTGATGAGGGGCTGTGTGCAGATCGGACCACTGACTGACACTGGGTGAATGACAATAATCCCCAGATTGCTCTGGGTTGACGTAGCTGCTAGAGGATGATGTTAACTCTGCTGTTTACAGAAATAAATCCAGTGTGAGTCGAGGCTTTTTGGTGTTTATAACCAGATGGTATTTCCTGCCTTGATCAGCCTCAGAGCTTTGGTTCCCATGGCAACCCTGAAGTTCCACCTACTGCAACTTCCTCGGTCTCTAGGCTTCTTCCCCTTCCACTATTGCATCAGGGGAAGAAAGGCACTAACTAGCATGTGCACAGCACTTTAAAGTTTGCTCCACACTCCAGCGTTTTTATTACTTCATTTACTCCTCACCACTGCCTTGCCAGATAACATTTGTTGTTTCTCCATTCTACAGATGAGGAAACAGAGGCCTCAGAGATGAGGCAGTCTGCTCTCTCAGCCTCAATGGTGACAGCAGGCCCCAAGCTGAGATGTGAGGACTCTGGATCTCATCTGGGGTCCACTCTACCAGGATGAGCATGAATACCCTATCCTGCAGTACTGCCCTGCAGCACCGTGAGTGACTCCTAAGCAGTCAATGTCATATACAAATTGGCTCTAGATCAAGCACAGCATCTTCAGGCAAATCTTCCCTGTGCCTCACGCTCCTCGTCTGTAAAATGCATAGTAAAGATGGTACCTCTGGACGGATGAGAGAATGACCTACGTATGCCTATAAACCCACCAGAAGAGCGAGTCTGAAGGAGGACATGAGCCTCAAGTTCCACCGTATCATGCGGTGCTGAGTGGGCTGTTCTGCTTGGGTAGCGCTTTTCCTCCACGAAACAGGTAGTTACGATCGAGTACACATCCCCTCTCACACTACAGTGCAGGTACACATCCTTGGGAGATTTCGTGGGGTCTGCATTTCTTGTGAGTGACTTGGGGACACCAAGGCTGCCGGTCCATGGACTATACTCTGAGCAGCAAGCTTGCAGCTAAGAAAGCACTGTGCAAATGGTATCAGTGATTCACTGCGCAGCGATCACACCTGCATCAGCAGAAAGCTCGGGAAGCTGGGAGGGCTGGCGGGGAGGGTGAGCAGGTCTTGTCTGGGGTATGAGGGTGGGGAGGGAACACTATGTCTGATCTTGGGGATCCCAATGGACATAAAAACATCAGCGTATTACATTACGTATTGCATGACAAAATGTACTCATTGAAAATGATCCATGCAATTCTTTTAAAATAATTATTTTTTAAAAAAGTCATTGTGACCCAGGAATGCTAAATGACCTAAGTTCATGACAGAAAGGTCAAAGTAGAGCTATTCTGTGGCTCTAAGAAACAGAATGTCTTGTCCTCCCTCCGTTCCCTTTTTTTTTTCTTCTTTTCTTTTTTTCTGGAGGCTAAGGATTAAATCCAGGGACTCATGGCTGGTACGCAAGCATTCCACCAGTGAGCTAAATCCTCCGTTTGTTTTTGTTGTTGTTTTTTCTTTTGAAACAATCTTGCTAAATTGTGCAGGTTGGCCTTGAATTTGTGATCTTTCTGCCTCAGCCTCCCCAGTAGCTGGCATTATAGGCATGCGCCACCAAGCCCAGCTCATTTTCTTTGCCCTGTGTTTTTCTTTATATGATTGTGGTTTCTAAACTGAATTATGTGCATTAAGTTAATTGCTATCCAATTAACAAGGATTTTTCCATTCGTTCTTGCAATAAATCTGGCCAGCGCATCTCTGGCCCTTGTCAAAGGTCCCTCACCCAGCTCCTCTGACTGCCATCAGCTCCAACAGAGGTCAACATGGTGGGGCTGAGTCGGCACCACAGCTGGTGGCAAGTTCATAAGGTCTGACCCTTGGGACAGTGAGAGAAAAGTGCCTATGAGCTCTGGCTGCAGGAGACGGCACGTGGTCTGTGCTGAGCATTTGGACTGTGAGTCCTTACATCAGCCTCTTGAGCCAGGACTGCTCGATTTCAGGGCAACACAGCAAAGCAAGGCATTTGCTTCTGGTGCTCGTGATGGCGGTTAGTGTTCTGGGCGGTCACCCACTACCTGAGAAAGGCTGCAGCCCACCCTCCTGTGCTGGCTCTGGGTTTTGCAAACTCCCTGGGAGGAGATCTTCTGCCTCAGCTGCTTGTTCTCATCCCATGCCCAGCACTGTGGAATTAGTGGCCGATCCTCTCATGAAGGCACCTACTGCCTCCACTCTGAGGTCCCTTGCACAGCTCGCCCCCACCCCATGCACAGGCAGGTGGCAGGTTCCAGGCGGGTGAGAGGCCAGAGGTGGTAATTAGTCTGCAGCTTGTCATCTGGGACCGGTCTGGAGAGGGCCTCCTGCGGCAGCAGCAAAGTGGAGCTGGGAGTTGGGAGACTGACAGAGGCAGGGTTCAGGGCACAGAATGGGGCAGGGGGAGCTGCACCTGCTCCTTCTGAGGCTTTCTTGAGTGAACAGGTGAGGCGCGGGTGTCCATGTCAACTGCAGGCTGTTGCAAACACTCATCTGCCAGGAGTGATTTCCATTGTGATGAAAGCGGAGACAATTACTCTGCTGAAAGAGCCCTAGCCAAGTGAAGCGGAGCCTCAAGACACGTTAAAAAAAAGGGAGATCCAGAGAAGTGGCAGGAGCCACAGCATCTACATGACCAGGGAATTAGAAAAAGTAGTGGCCTCAGAAGGGGCCTGCCCTCCACCCCAAGCCCAGGACTGGCAGCTCCACTTCACTCTGGCTCGCTCGTGAAGCATTCTCTGCGGACACTGGCTTGAGACCTCAGTCTGTCTAGAGCCTTGGACAAAAGGGGTTACACGTGTGTGGGGAGAGAGGAAGACTACACCTGTGACAGCGAACCTTTAAGAGCTTTCAATGATACGAAAAGCCCACTGTGGCACACATGTCACAGGTTCGCCACCACTGCACCAATGAAAGGACGGGAGAATGGGGTAGAGGTGAACAAGATTGACCTCAGAGGCAGGGAAGGCCACCTACCAGGAGCCCTTGGCGTCCTTCTCTGGTATATTAATAGAAATCTTACTATTCTAGCCTCTGAGAAGCCTTCCATTCAGAAGCATTAAGTTCTTTCACTCTCTTGTACAACCATTATCTAATTCTAGACTTCCCATCACCTCCAAGGAGAACTCCCTACCTTTGAAGTATTCTCCCAACTCCTAGCGCCCCAAAACCACTGATCTGCTTTCTACCTCTGTGGACTCACCTATTCTGGATATTTTTTATCAACAGTCATAAAATATGTAGACTCTTCTGTTTTCTTTCGCTTAGCATAATGTTCTCAAGGTTCATTCAGGCCACAGCTTTCATTCATTCACTGACAGTCATCTTGAGTTACCTCCACTTTGGCCTGTTGTGAATTGTGCTATATGAACACAGCCCAAGTTCTCGATACAATACCTATTTTCAGTTTCTCCGGGAATGCATTGGGTGAAACTGCTGGGTTATGGGGCTATTCTACTTCACTGAGGAACCACTCCCTCTTCCTTTTACAGTAACAGGGCTGGATGGGATCTCGGGACCTAGTAGTTTTTCTCACTTTTGGAGAAAGCTACTATCACTGCACCTTGCTCTCCCAAGGTAGGAGGGGCTTTGTCCCAATTTTAATGCACGTATTTCTGAAGTGAAAGCACAAGGCTTTGTCAGAATCAAGGCCAACGCTGAAAAATGAATGAGCCCGCTGTCAGGTATACAAACTGCTCCCTCTACCTGGCACTGCCACGTGGGAGCCAATTCCATGGACCACACCCCATCTTCAACCTGAATCCCCTCTTCAGCTGCCCTGGCGTAGGCTTGGCCAGCCTCTGGGCCTACCAGGATGCAGCCCTCCCAGGTAGCTCTGGTCCCTGAAGTGCTCTTCTTGGGGAGCTGCCCTGCCCCTTGGGGCCCACAGCCTCACTCCTCTTCCTAGACACAACTGTCCGCTTCCCTAACCTCTCTGGGTCTGAGCATTTCAGTAGGAGGTACTGGGACCATGGATGAGGCCAACTCTCAAAAGAAAGCGAAGCTCTAAGCTATGTATAATATTTTATATGCCCTGCCCCCATTGTAAACCAGCGACAGGGCCTAAATAACAAGGTGTCATTTGTATATTTTGTTGTTGGCTGGGTTACTTTCTTTGACAGGCAACAAAATATCACAAAGACAATGTGGACCTTGGGGTGAGATTTGCATTCAAACCAAGCATCTGTTAGCTGTCTGCGACCTTGGTAAAGCTGGTTACTGTCAGTGTGCCACAGTCACCCGACTGACAAGAAGGAAACTTTAAGTCTTACAGGGTCATTGTGAAGATGAGACAAGGTGACTCACAGAAGCTAAGTGAGAAGAAGAAAAATTCACTATTATTTAATATATGCAGATTGGCAAACAAAAATAAAAAGAATCCAGTCCTTGTATGGGAAAAACAACATTGTGATAATAAAAAGCATCTGACATGAGGAAGATGGAAACTGCTCCGTAGGTCTGAAAAATGATGTCTCACCTTGGACCAGTGGCCCCACTGAGGGCTTGCGGCAAGGCTAATGCCTACCCCGACCACCAGGTTTTCCTGACAAAGATGGCTGTACCTGTGTCTCTCAGTCACAGGCAAAAGGTTCCTACAGGAAATAGGAACCTAGGAGGGATCCTATAATAAGAGTTGGCTCTCCACTGGCAGAGGAATGGGGGATTCTGAGTGGCAGCAAATTGTGGTTTTGGCCATAAGAGGCCCCAGAGGGGTGGGAATGCTAGAGACAAGTGACAGGGCTTTGATCTCTCACCATCATGGTTCTTCCTGTTTCACCCCCAAGATTTAGTGAACTGCTGTCCATCTGGCCTTGATTTCTCAGTTGAAGAACTGACACTAAGGTAAGGTAGAGTTCAAGTCTACTCTTAGGAGGAGCAGAGCCCCCTAAACCAGCAGAGAACCTAGCAAGCCCTAAAGAATACACGTGAGGAATGCACGTGAAGCTCCTAAGGGAAAGACTCCCGCCCCTGCCATGAGGACAGTCATCCTCCCCAGCCAGTCCTGCAGAATTTGGCATCAACTTTATTAGGGTAAACTCTTTCCACAATGAACAGGATCCCCTGATGAGCTTGCTTGAAATGGACAAGGACAGCCACAGAGGTGCTTCATTTCACCACTTTGTCACCTTCCTCTGGGCTGCAGGAAGGATCCCAGGCATGGCACGTGGCACATGGCACATAGACACAGCTCAGGGAGGTATCTGCAGCCATGTAGCCTTGGGTCCGGCTTATAAAGTGTCTTCGGGCAACTCCAAGGCAGAAGCAAATGAGAGGGTTCCACTCTGCCTGCTTGGTCAGCCTCCATGATTTGATCAGACAGCCTTTTTTCTTTTTGTCCACCTTGGTGTGAATCCCAGTGACACAAACACTCAAAGTCAGAAACAGCTGAGGACAGGAACCCATGGGCCAACCCTGGCTTCCTTGAGGCCCAGATTCTGGTAGTGTCATCTAAGCTGCTGCTACCTCTTGCCGGGGGCCTCTTCTTCCGGCCTCACCCAACCAGCCATGGCTACAGGGCAGGTGAGATAGAAGGACAGAGGGAGAGAGAGAGGAAGGGACTGATTTAAAATGTGCAACCATCTTTCAAAGTCCTGACATATGCACAGCTCTATTGTGAAATGGGATCTCCCGCCCTCATCTAATCCACAGTGTCTTGGGGAGAGCTACCTTCTGGTAACCAAAAGGTAAACTGAACCTGGAGGAGACAAGGAAACATGCTCCATGTTATGCAGTGAGAAGAAGCTGAGCCAAAACCCAGTGCTAGGTCTGACTCTACCTCCTCCAGTGTTCTTTCCAGGGGGAACACTTATTCTATGTATTTCAAAGAAAATGACTAAAAACCAGGAAAACAGGTAGTAACTTAGCCCTTCCCTTTCCTGATGATATATAATGCATGTAAATTACAAGCTGCCTTTGCAATGCTGTTCAACTTGGGGTGACCCTTCTCCCCATCTGTGGCTGTGTCCAGACTTACCCTTCAGGACTAGCTCCAGCTCCTTACTCCAAGCCTGCCTGAGACACCAATACGTGTCCCTGTGCCATGCCCTCACTTGCACAAAGTCACTATAGGACATGTTACACAGCACTCACTGTCATGTACTTGTCTCCTCTAGGAGACTGTGGTCTCCAGAGCACCAAGATAACCCATCTGTAGATCCAGAGCACAAGCCTAGGCTGGCACAGGGTGGATGCTCAGTGCCTATTCCATGAATGAAAAAAATGAAAAAGGAAGCATTCTTCCTGCAAAGCCAGCTGGCTTCCACCCAACCTTCTGGCATAGAGGCAAGGAGGCAGGAGCCTTGCTCTCACAAAAAGGGGCCTGGACACCCAGCAGATACTGCATAGATGCTGGGCAACAATGTCCTTCAACCTGCAGAGTTGCCTAGGACTGGGAACCCTCCTAGTCAGAGGATTCCTTCACCTCTGTATTCCACTACTAAGCGGGCCACTTTTGAGGACAATTTCTGGGGAAAGTAGAGGTGGTTCCTGAGGTCCCTGCCCCATGGCTGCCACTAATGCAGACAAGGCCACATTTCTCCAGCAATGTCAAAGGGACCCCAGTCTTGCAAGAGCACCTTGGAGAAGACACAAGTGGAAAATGCCACACACCAGTGAAGAGGGCTGGGCTGAAGGGACTGAGATGCCTCCCAGCAAAGGTCCTGTCTTGTGACTTGGCTTTAATTCAGTATCTACCTGACTCTGGAACCTTACCCCATGTTCACATACATACCCCTCATTTTTCTTTATTAAAAAATTGTAACATCCCATGGAATTAGTGCTCTAAAAGAGTACACTGTGAGATGCCTGTGAAGGTCACTGAACAAGGGAGGCACTTCTTGTGGAGAGGGAGAGCCTCCTGGAGGGAGGCTGGGAACAGGTAGGGTGAGAAGGGTCCCTAGAAAGGTGGTGACTAAGGCCCTAAAGGATGCCAGGGACCCTTCACCAAGCAGCACAGAAACTGCTGGGAGAAAAAGCCCTGAAATCACTCCTATCTGCACAAGGGACACAATCAGCCCTGCTCTGTCCAGGGTCCTCAGATGGGATCGTGGAGGTGTGCATGCATGGAGCACTGACCCTGGCACAGCTCCCTGTTTCCTAGGTGTTTAGTCAAACTTCTCTCTCTCTCTCTGCCAACTACGGGGAAAACAGGATGACAGCAAAAATCAGGAACGAAGCTTCAAAGCACATTGCAGTGGGGGCCATGTACTTCTGTGTAAACTCCAGGCCCGTGGGCAACCCCTGGGGACATCAGTAAATTGAAACAGCCAGAAACACTAGGGTGTCCAGCTCCAAAAGTCTCTGGGATGAAGGAAATGGCCAGGTCTGGTTCTAACACTAGTCAAGCTCCTGAAGGACTGCGTAACTGATGGGCAGCTTGCTTACCCCTACTTTCCCCATGTACAAGATGATGTGAAACAATGCCACCTCCAGGGTGGCCACAAGGATAATGAAAAATGTGGTAAAGCTTGGGCATACAATAGGTGCTTCATGAGCATGTCCCCTTGAAGACGGGGAACCTTCATTCAGATGCCTGTCCAATTGAAATGTTTTGTCTTCAGCCACATGGAGCATGGGCTTCTGCAGGTGGGAAATGGAGAGGAAGGGGAAGAAAGACAGCCACTAGCCTGGCAGGCAAAGAGGAATCCATGAGGCTCTGGGCAATGTGGTAATGATTGCTTCTGAAAGCCAGCATGGAGGGTTGTGCCACTGACTGATTGATGGATGGATGGATTGACTGCAGAGTGAGCAGAAACAAGATGGCTATGAGGGATTGGCTTTGACAGCGAGGAGAGACAGATGAGAGGTGGGAGGCACAGCTCATGGCAATAATTAGAATTCTAAGGCCACCATACTCTGGTTGCTTCTTGTGGACGAAGTGCTGCCTGTACTCAGGCTCCAAGTTCCAGTTAAGAGAGGCTGAGACTTCCCTGCCATATCACTGGGCAGGAACGGGGCTGGATCTGAGTCCTGACCCTAAACCCAGAGCACGGGCTCTTCCACTTGCTCTGCTGCCCTTGAGGTTGGGGCCACATGCACAGTCTTCTGCCTGCCCAGATCTTCCAGGGTGGGGAAGCTCTGGCTCATCTGTGTACTCCTGGCAGCAAGTGTATAATAGATTTTAAAATCTGGGGCTTGTCTAATATAGTATGACACAGAAGAAAGACACACAGGTCAATCCACTTTTGAGGAACATGGAATGAATGGAGCATAGAAGAAATTCCAGATTCTCTAGCTTTCTTTGCTTAGAAAATCTGAGCACTGAAGTCCTTTCACAAAGTGATACATTGGTCTCCTGCTCCCATATGCATGGCAGAAAGCCCTGTATGACCCAGCTGAGCAGCAGGGAGCCCTGTAGTACTGTCTTTGCCTGACCCTGCATCTTGTAGGTAGAGAAACTGAAGTCCAGAAAGAAGGGTTCCACACAGTGAGCCCTCTTTTCTCTCCAATGTGAATGCTGCCTTTGTAATAAAAAATGTAGACACATATCCCAAACGCCTGCTGCATACTGTATGCAACAGGTACAGTGAAGTCCAAAGCAGTAATACATAAAGCATGAGGGGGTTTCCATGGCTAGGAGGACAAATTCTGTGTAAGGGTGTTGAGAAAAGCTTCCTCTGGGAGGTGGCTTGAGCCATGAGGGACAAGTTAGAGCTTTTACGGTGAGATGTGTCAGGGAGGGATATCCTTCCATCGGATTGCTCCCCAAGTTTAGAGCACTGCTGGAAAACATATGGGTAGAAACTACATTTTCCAGCCTCCTTTGCAATCAGGTAGAGCCACGTGACTACCAGTAGCCAGTGGAATATGAGCAGGAAGGAAAAGTGTGACCTAAGGGCAAGGCAGTTAAGAAGAGGCTGTGCTGGCTGTCTCCACCATCCTTTCACCTTTCTTTTGGGGATGGCAGGGCACAAGAGCAACAGAGACAAGTCCCTGAGTCACTGTGTGCAACCACGTGCCCATCAGAAGCATGTGACTAGCACTTGTTAGGACAGAACTGGTCTCCACATGTGGGTGTCTGGTACCACAACCTTACCAACTGATGTTCCAGGGACTGGAGGGAGGGGGATCCAGGCACAGTGGGGAACAGACACGGCATATTTGGGGGGAGCAGAGGGTTGGTCACCAGCTATGGGAAGGGGCAGCTGGGCCCAGAAAACTCACACTGGTGACCACCCAAGGAGGATCACATACAGGGACTATTGCCGGGGGCCCTGGTGTTGCTGGCGCTGCTCTCAAAGGACGAGTGGAAATTGTGAATGGTTTCCTGTAAAATTTGTCTCTCACGTCCCTGTGGAAGAAAATGAAAACAGACATAAAAAGTCTTGTTAAACTTTTTTAAACCATGAACTGGTTCAATTGAATTCAAGCATTTAATGCTCAGCTCACTTGAAAAACCCATGGGTGTCATGGTGGAATAAATTAGGATTGAAAGAGTTTCAAGTTTAATAACAATGGACTAAGTTAGAAGTACCCCCAGTACCTATAGTGCTGGTTTGGGACCCTGGTTGCAGGGGTCCAAAACCACTGGATAAGGCAGGCAAGGCCCAAGGGCAGGTTCAACCTGCCTACTTCTGTGCATCTTTCCAGCTCTGATTTCCAAAAAACTTAATGGGAGCACACAAAACTGCACCCAACCCCCACGTTTTGAGATAGGAAAAAAGGTGGATGCTGATTCTTCTTCGGGCTTGCAGAAGCCTTTACTGAATGCCTGGATGAGAAGCAGCAATACAGCAAGGTTAAGAACAGACTGGAATCAAACAGCCTAGGTTCAAATCCTGCCATTTACTAGCTGGGTGGCCTTCAACAAAATTCTTAATCTCTCGGGGCCTTGGTTTCCTCATCTATACAATGGGTTAATAACAGCACCTCAGATGGTTGCTGCTGGCATGGTACCCTGTGGAGTGGCAGGAGGCAGACAGATCCTGACCTCAGAGGGCAGCAGTGTGGATTAAGCATTTACTTTCTAAGTTAACTAAATGTAGTCAAAACAAAAGCAAATTAAAAATGTATAGCCTTTTGCAGATTTTTCTAAATATAAAAGATCCCCACTGATTGAGCCCAGACCTCAAACTTTCTTTCATTTCATGGACTTCCCACTCCTGACCCCTATGTAGTGACTTGGTGTACAGATGGGGTCCCCTAGACCCCTGAGAGGACAGTAGGAGCCTCCCTTTATGTCAGTTCTTACAAGTAATCTTAAATAAGCTGCAAAAATGCCTTCAGAATGCCATAGACATAAATCCTAAGACTTCAGGGGAAACACAGAGCACTGGGTATGAGGCAGAAGAACCTAAAGTCCTACTCCCACCAGTGTGCCCCTATTCCGCGGAGTTTGTGTGTCTGTGCAATGGCAAAATGTAGCCTGCCAGGGCTGACTTGAAGTTCAAGCTGAGATGATGAACAGGGTAGCCCTGTACAGGCTCAATGGCCTAGAGGAAGGATGACAGTGATTTTATTATTAAATGGCACCTTTGTTTTAACTGCTTGAGAAATGAGGTTGGGGGAGACAGAGTTCCAGTACTTGCTGCCTCCTCACCTTATGAGGGAGCTGGAGATGATTAAAGCCATAGTCACTCCCTGCATCACAACTGACTGAAGAAGATAATGATAAATGCCCTTCCGAAGTCCCTGAGTTTCAAAGGACTGGACTGCAAATTCTTAAAAGCAAAAACAAAAACAAAAAAAAAATGGCCATTAATGTAGAAAAATAAAGTTTGACCTATCAAGTATTATTAAAAATGAAAATACAAACCAGGCACATGGGGCCAGGGATTTAGCTCAGGGGCACCTCGCCTGCCTGGCAAGTGCAAGGTCCTGCGTTTGATTCCCAGTACAACAAACAAACAAACAAACAATGGCCAATTCTTTTAGCCTGTCAGACTAATAATGATTAAAAACCCAATAGGAAGACTAAAAGTTCGAGCCCAGTCTGGGAAACTTAGCAATTGAGCTCAGCCCGTCTCTCAAATACACAAACAAAAACAAATAGGCTGGAGATGTAGCTCATTGCAAAGGCCCTGGGTTCAATCTCCAGTACCACAAAAACAAAAACCCCAACTGATAGCACTCAATACTGGCAGGAGCACAGAATGAAATGCTCATTTCCACAGCAGCAGGTGCTCACTGGCTCTTTCAGGAAGAATTTCAGAAAGGATTTCTCAAGAAATTTAGGAAGGCACCCATATAACTTGAGCCTGGCTCTTTGACTAAGTGATTTCTATTTCAGACATCTGTTCTGAGGGGATAATTAGAAACCCTAACACATGTAACACACAGAGTCCACTACGGCACTGTTTTCGCAAAGTTTGTGCATCTAGACATCTAATAAGGAGGTGACTTTGAAAAAATATTTTAATACCATCTTTGCAAATTTATTATATTAAAAACACTTCTTAAGTGACATGGGTAGTTGCACATGTTTCATGTTAAACAAAAAAAGCAGATGTAAAATTATAGATCCAAATTTATCTCAGCTGCTGGGGGGAAAAAAGAAACATTTGTCATAAGACACTGCAGAGTAACCACCCCAAAGTAAACAGCACTGGCTGTGTAGTGGTTAGGCTGTGATTTCTTAAAAGAAATTCTTCTGGGCCAGGGATTTAGCTCAACGGTTCAGTAGCCTGCCTCGCAAGTGCAAGGACCTGAGTTCAATCCCCACTACCTAAAAAAAAAAACAAACAAACAAACAAAAAAAACGAAATTCTTCCTACCATTTTGGTTCTGTGCAAATTTAGCAAAATGAGGGTTAGGGATTTAGCTCAGTGGTGCACCGTGCCTGCCTCACAAGTACAAGGTCCTGAGTTCTATCCTTGGTAATTTAGCAAAATGATAAGTACAAAAAAAGAAGGAAACAAAAGAAACAAGGCTTAGGACCAACTAAGGGTGAGGGTCAGACCACTGTTTCTGTTAACCTTCTCCAATACATTTCTCATCTGACATTAACAGACTAATAAAGTTGTACACATTATAACTCAGATGCCTAGGTGGGTTCACCTAGTGATTCGTGGCTTAAAAACATTAGTGCTTGGGCCAGGGATTTAGCTCAGTGGTTCGGGTGCCTGTCTCAAGCAAAGGTCCTGAGTTCGATCCCCGTTACAAAAACAAACAAACAAAAAAACATTAGTGTTTTCCTGTTATTATGCCTTGAGCTGGGGTGCAGCTCAGCAGAAGTATGTGTAAGGCCCTGGGTTCAATCCCCAGCACCACAAAAAACAACAACAAATACTATTATACACTCATGCCTGACATCATTTGCTGGTACTGTGTATTACTAGGACCCAGGTTTTTTGTTAATGCTCACTACAATTTTTTAGGCTACAATGCTCAAGTGCTTTTTTGATTGTGTAAGAAATGCACTTTCTATCACATCCCTGTTTCATGTAAATATATTAACTGAAATAAGTTTTACCCTTCCTATGTGCACAGCAGGTTGACAGTTTCTATTCTATTTCATTTTTAAAAATTCTGCTCATAACTGACTGAATCGATTCTACAACCCTCTAGCACGCTGTGGACCACTGCTAGAGAAGACACTGATGAGTGAGAAAAGCTGGGCCCCTCTCTCACACAGGTCCTGGTCTGGGTTCCTGATTGTGTTCAGGTCATCTGAGCCACAATGGTGCTCTCTTGGCTGAGCTTTGGTAGCAAAAGAAAAGACCTAAGCTGGGCATGATGGCACTCTGCTGGGCTGAGGCAGGAGAATCAGTCTGGGCAACTCCATTAGTTAGCCAGACCCTGTCTTAAAAAGGGGATGGCGGTTGGGGATGTAGCTCAGTAAGAAGGCCCTGGATTCAATCCCCAGTACAGAAAGGAAGAAAAGAAAGAATTTTTTTGGTAGCAGGGATGGATTTAATGCTGCATGAAAGACAATTTTTCCAGACTAGGGGTGGGTTTGGGATGATTCAAGTGCATTACATTTACTGTGCATTTATTTCTAGTATTGCTACATCCTCCACTTCACTTCTACTATTATTACACTAGATTCTCATAAGGTGCTCCAACCTAGATCCTTCACTGAGGTGGCCACAGCAGGGTTCTCACGCGGGAATCCAATGCCACAACCAGTGTGACAGGAGGTGGTGCTAGGGTGGTAATATGAGCCTTGCAGTGCAGCTGTAAATACAGGAAGCTTCACTCCCTCAGCCACTGCTCACTCCTGCCCTGGGGCCTGGTTCTGATTAGCCACAAACAGGTAATGGCTTAAGAGTACACAGCAGAAGATTAATTTTTAAAACTGTTCCCAATTATGCCTTTTCCCTAGGACACACTGTGACCTGTGGTCCCACTTCCAGAGGACTTTATCCGGCCTTTCCCCCTGAGAAGCTGGGCTCCTGCTTAACTGCTGTGTGGAATCAATGGATTGCAGATGGGTGCTGCCTGTGCAAAGGATGAGAGTGGGATTAAGAGGGCCTGTGGGTGCCTCGGTGGGAGCTGGTGGCCTGGGTGTTCAGGGAGGACTGACAACAGCTGTCCCTTCTGAAGCTTCTCCTGTTGGAGTCTATACTAACAATCAGGGTGGAGAGGTATGGTGAATTTGAGAGAAAACTAAAGAAATGTTCCAGTCTGCACAAACTTTAAGAAAAATAACCCCCGTTTGGGGTCAGCTGAAGAGGTCACGTGGTCCAGTCTAACGACACAGCTAAGTTTCATAGTGGCCTCACCTTTGGAGGGTAGGGGAGGTTTCAAAGACATTAGTAATTGCCATCTACCATGCCAGCTCTGAGGGCACCCAGCTCCCACTTGGCACCACCCCCACCTCCAGAGCCTGTCTGTACTCTTCCTTGCTTGCTTAGCCTAAGTGTGGGCTTCCCACCGCCACGCTCTCTTGCTCTACGCCTCCCATCATCACACATCCACCCCCTCCCCAAAGCCCTTGACCACCCCAAGGAGCCTTCACCTGTGCCCTCTGTGTCTCTTGTTCTATGTGCTCCAGCCACCCCATTACTTCTCACCACAGGGCCTCTGTACACGTGCCCCCCTCAGCCTAGTCTGCACCTCTCTTCTACCCATTTACCCTGTGGTTTCCACCTTCCCTTCAGGCCTCAGCTCCCTGCTACTTCCTCAGGGAGGTCCCCTAGTTCTTGGTTTCGCAGCCCACACTGTGTCAGCTCTCCCAGCACCATGTGCTTCTCCTCGCTGTGTGCTTGGGTTACTTACAGGGAGACTGTATTGCATGTGGGCAGACACTAATCTGGGTTCCACCTGGTTCTGCTACTTACTGGCTGTGTCCCTGGACAGTCTTCCATCTACCTGTGTTTCAGTTTTCTGAACTGGAGCCAACCTCAGCAGCACTGGTGAAGGTTAACTGAGCAGCCCCATGTGATGTACTCACAGGACAGGGATGGCGCACAGTGACGCTGAATGCCCAACGTTCACACGGTGCTTGGGCTGTGGCTGACTCTCAGATGGCTCCTGCTCTTGGATAAACCAATGCTCCAAAGACTTTGGGGATTACTTTTGCTGACTCACCCCAGGTAAGCCACTCCATCTTCACTTCCCTGCTGATGCCTCACCACCAGCCAAGACCCAGACCAGCGACCTCCAGCAGTCTCTATGCCTGCCTCATGCTCTCCCCACCCCAGACCTGAGAACAAGGTGCACAGCAGCGCCAGTCTGGAAGTCAGGGTTCATGGTCCACCTCTGAGCCTGGGCTTCTCCACCTGTAAAATGAGCAGCCCAGACCCCTGGCATAGGAGATGAATGTTAGGAACATTTCCAGAGGAGAAAGAACCAAACTGGTGGAGCAGTGCTAACAACGTCCCTTTGAAGGATCTCCTCGAGGCTTGTGAACACGTAATAGTGATGGTGACAGCAACAGACAGAACACCCACCCCACAATCCTGGCAGCGCTGCGAGGTCCTCCCTGCCTGGGACTCCACTCTGGGCCTGGCTGGGGAAATGTATGCAAAGTGATCTGCCAATGATAGAAGGCTACATAAATATTTATTTGCTGCTGGTGTGAACTTCTATTCAGTATTTCTGTGCAAAATCTGGAGGTATATAGGATGAACCATAGCGCTGGTCGTACTCTCTGACCTAACCTCATAGTGCAGAACATAGCCTGAGGGACAATGGCAATAAAACACAAAACAAACAAGAAAAGGGGAAGAGACAGAAATGTCCAAAACAGTAATAGTTATAGAGAACTGCAAAATCCCAGACATGCTGCTCTTGTCCACCAAGTGGGCAGCTATGAGTTAGAGTGTGAGGAGACAACAGGTGAGCCAGTGCCATCTGTCACTGCTGGAAGGAGACAGAAAGATCCATTCTACACGAGGGGAAAAAAACAACAGTAAAGGGGTCTGAGCGTCCGGCAGCAATCACAGTCAATATCTGCAGAGCAAGTGAGGATTTATCTTTCTGGTTTTGTGATTTGCCTCTTTTATTGGATGTGTGTGCCTTGGGGTGGGGGCGGGGCACCACTGATTTTCAGCACTAAAGCTGATGAAACAGAGATTTAACATCAGACCAAAATACAGGATGCCAATATCATCAATGGTAATTGACAGCTCTTGGTGCCCAGAGCCCTACTAGGCATTTTAGTTCTAGAAAGAGCCCCTTCCCACTTCAGGGAGGACAGTGAGGCTCAGGGAAGTGCCTGCCTTGCCCTGGGGGCCCAACCCACTTAGCCTGACTCCAGAGCTCCAGAGGGTGACACCTGACTCTGTGAGTTGAAATTACCCAAGAGGGTATCTTTGCTTTTTTTTGTTTTGTTTTGTTTGGTACCAGGGATTGAACTTGGGTCCTTGGGGTTGCAAGGCAGGCCACCAAACCACTGAGCTAAATCCTTGGCCCGAGGGTATCTTTGCTAAATTCAAATAGCAACACTGGATGGGGAGGGACGTCTGGAGAACACAAGTTGTAGGCAGTGAGCACTTGGTCGCAGTAAGTACCCTCCATGAGAGATGTCACAGGAGCTGAAATGAGACTGCCACAAAGGTCCTAGGGCACTATGAAGCTCTCAACTGTCTGAAGAAGGAAGAAGGCTGCGGATTAATACCTTGCCAGCGTTCAGTTCAGAGATGGCTGCCAGGATCTGCTGTCGGGACCCATCCGTCTTGATGCCCAGCTCCTGCAGGTCACCGTCGGTGAGCGTGAGAAAGGCTTCCATGTCCACCTGGGAAGAGAAAGTCCACTACCATCTGCAGGGGCCACAGAGCGGTCACAATGAGGCATGATGAGTGCTCATTAGTAGGAAATTAATTATAATGTCCTACTTCCAATCCAGGCTTTCCATTTTAAAGTTTAGATGAAAATATTAAAAGCTAACTCTCTCTGGCCCCAGCCCTTGGCTTTTCCAAACAGAAGAATTTTGGAAAATACCTTTACAATGAAACAGATTATAGAGGTCTCTGAGATGGGAATCTGGGCAGTGGGTGTGCTCAGCTCCGCGTGCTCCCACTAGAGAGCCCATCCCAATGACACTGCACGGGACAGGGTGGGCACATGGCTGTACTCACCTCATCTCCCCCCAGAGGACGAGAGAGGTGCCGACTGTGGAAAGACAGAGCAAGAAAATAAGCAGAAGCAATAATGGACACAGAAGCCACAGAGAACTGAGGTGGTAAGGCCAAGCTCAGGGGACCCAATGCTGTACACACCTTAGTTTCTGCAGGTGAAATTCTAATTGCCCTGTTGTTCCTGCCTGGGCTGTGCAGAGGAAGTCAGGTTCTGTCCCAGCAGAATGGCTAGCTGGCCTCTGTCCCCTTAAGGCAGGGGAAGGGAAGGTCAAAAGTGGTTTCAGTAGAGTAAGCACACCTACCACACAGAATGTAGGTTGGTGTGACAATAGTTTTAGACACAAAGGGACAAAGAATGGGCCTTAACACTCAGGAAATTCAATTCATTATGCTCCACCCTGCATGTGGAATGCAGATATGATGGCTGGAGCTCTAGTAGCCACACAGAACTTTTGGGACAAGGGCCGTGCAAGCTGGTGATGGTGGAACAGAGAGCTGGTGGGACCCTGGATGACTTCCTTCCATACTTTCTGTGGCAGAAATTATCTTCTATTTTGTGAAGACACTATTATTTTTTAAAAATATATCTAGCCCAATCAAAACAATCCTAATACAGGTAGAAAGTTGAAAATTATTGTATTGCAGTTCCGATATGACATGATGAGAACAGGTATGAAGCCAATTCCTCTTCCAAGTTCTCCCTGATGACTAAAAGTATATAATGCCAGGGGGAAATTGTACAGCACTAAGTCCTATCCCCATGGCAGAGACTTGAAGGAGCTCCCATAGGGACTGAGAAGCATCGGTGTGGCTGTGGGGACTGGGCTGGAGGCAGGGCAGGGACATCGTAGGGTTAAAGCTCCGTCCTCCTCAGGCCTCCAAGGGGCACACTAGGCTGTGGGTCCATACAGAGGGGAATCCTACAGTGCTGTAGCATATAAGGTGCCTGGAGAGAAACAAAGTCATGGGAGAAGAAAATGAGCTTGGCACCTGACAGGGCAGGCGCCGGGCACTGTCTCAGCCCCTCCAGCCCAGCACCCTGCAATCCTCCAGCAGTAGCGCCTAGCCCTTCCCATGCACTGCTGAAGCCTGGCTCCCACCCTGACTCCAAAAGCCATGGAAAATTGTGGTGGGTAAATTAAACCAACGGTAAATCTGTACAGCCTGTCTTCCTCTGCCTGGAAGATTTGGAAAGCTTTACAACTTCAGCTGGAACACAGCTCAGTCCTTACAGTGGACAGCTCCAACAACCTGAAAAATGAATGACAGCTTAGAGACTGTCACACCCCAGAATGTCAGCTTAGAGAAGCGGGTAAAGCTCCGAAGGCAGAACAAATGTTGCCTTATGAAACAGAGATGCGTCTTCCGTACACCCCAAGAGGACACAGCGCATTTTGGACAGGAGCAGGCCATCATCAATCAGGAAGGGTTTTTCAGAAAGGAGAAAAATCACTTCTAAGTTTCAAATGCCAAGGGAGCAGGAAGGACAGACAGGGGACTGTGGAGAAGTTAACGGAGAGACAGAGTGAGCGCCATTTTGCCCTGTTTGCCTCTTGAACCAAAATACAAATGCCTCTTTGGTTTCTTTTTGAGGGGCTCAAACTCAGGACCTTGCACTTGTGAGGCAGGTGCGGTGCCACTGAGCTAAAATCATGGGCCCACAAATGCTCTTTGGATTTCAAGCTTGTTGGGGACAAGTGACTCTCATGATTGTTACTATAATTATGATGGTTTTCATGTGTTGAGCTGATCACCAGAACATTCTAAACCAGTGATTACAACCTGGTGCTAGTGGGCCTGCAGAGTTTTACTTGACTAAAACAGTGCATTTCTTTTAATATATTACAGAAATGCAATTCACCTGCCATACAGTTCACCGATTTAAAGTGTACGATTCAGTGATTCATAGTACATTCAGTTACACAACCATCCTCAATTTTACATCATTTTCACCCCCCCCAAACCCCAAATCCATTAGTAATTATCCCCCATTCTTCCCTCTCCCCAGCCCCGTGCCACCATGAACGTACTTCCTGTCTCTGTGGATTTGCCTAGACGTTTCATGTAAATTAGATCATACTACATGTGGCCTTTGGTGACCCATTTCATTTGGCATGTTTTCAGGGTTCCTCCTTGTTGTGTCATATATTGCTGTTTCATTCTTTTTATGATCAATATTCCACAGTACACAGGTGTTAACATTCTGCATTTTTCTCTTCAGTTGACTGACATCAAGGTGCTTCCCCTTTCTGGCTAACGTGAATGATGTTGCAGTAAACATTTGTGTACAAGTTTTTGTGTGGATGTTTGTCATTTCTCTTGAGGACATCCCTGGGAGATCTGTTAGGTCATATGATAACCCTAAATTTAACATTTTGAGGAAGTGCTAGACGGCAGATCAATAATTTTTTAAATATGATTTTGAATACTAACTACATAGAAACTCTCAAATTACCACATTATTTCCAGACACGTAACAGATTCCTCAGGATTTGCTTGTGGCCCACTTTAAACCTATAAGCCTAACAGACAATCTGTGAAAATAAAAATATTTCCAGGACCAAGACAAACTTTTCTAGAAAGAGCAGTGTGCAAAATTACAGCATCTGATTATAAGAGAGCAAGCCATAAGGTCCCCAGGACTCCACTGTAATGAACTGAACTAATGCGCTGAATAGGATGTCTATTTCCTTGGCTTGTGTCAGTGAGGAGGAGCAATCTAGGCTGTGCAATGAAAACTACGTATTAAGACAAAGGGTTTCTTGTATTAAGACAAAGGGCTTCTTGTACTAAGACAAAGGGTTTCTTTGTTTTGTTTTTTAACAGTAGGTTTTAAATAGACATCTGGAAAGAACTTCCTTACCTCTTGTTCCTCAAAAATGGGTTGGTATTTCTCAAGTGATAACTTCTTAAGGATTCCGGTCAGTTCATCTTCAATTAAGAAAGATGTGGGGAAAAAAAGAATGGTTGGTATTTCTCAAGTGATAACTTCTTAAGGATTCCGGTCAGTTCATCTTCAATTAAGAAAGGGGAAAAAAAGGAACACACACACACACATTTTAGGATTTCATAAAGTATCAACAGCAGTGTTCAGATGTCTATAAAATAATGACCACTTTATTCCAAATAAAATCTCAACACAGAAAGCAGATCTAAACTGTGCCCCTCTAGATGCAGCTGCAAGCGGTCCTGAGCTCCCCGCCCCCAGGGCAGGCCCTCAGCATCTCCACAAACCCCGTGCCGAGAACAGCACCCCACCCTAAACCTGCAGCCACCAAGTCCTCAGGGCTCTGGCTGCTGGGACTAAAGCACTGCCTCCTCCTGTGCAAGACTGCAGTGTCAGGGTCAATGCCAACACCTGGAGTCCTCAGTGAGTCAGAGAAAGTCAGACAGCAGCTGGGCTGCAGGGAAGAGTAAGGGTGGTCTTAGTGTGCAGAGGTAGGGCCTCCCTGAAGCAAGGATGGTCATGAGTCCAACAGTGCAGCCAGGTGGGCACAGACCAGGTGGCACATGCAGGGAATCAGCTGGCCGGATGGAGGAGACAAGACCAGTGTCTGCAGGGCTTAAAGATCAACCCATTCCAGATCGGGCACTGAGGGCTCAACAGGCACCCAAACAGATGACACAGAGGCAGACAAGCCACACGCAGCAATGAAGGAGACAGTGGGGTGGGGGCAGGCAACAGAAGGCAGGAAGATGCTGTTCTGCAGAGGGTAGTCAGTGAAGGTCTTCCTTATCAGGTGACATCTGAGCAGTAAATCAGGAGCAGGCTATGTAGCTATCCAAGGGAAGAGAGCAGCAACTCCTAAAGAGAGAACAGGAGGCCCAAAGGTCCTGAGGCAGCAAATGAGTTCAAAGAAGAGAACAGGAGATCTGGTTTCTTCTTTCGTTCACTCACACATTCATTCAGCATGGCTATCAGTATGTCTGCTGCCTGGTGGGAGCACAAGGGTGCAGAGTCCCTGCAGGGCAGCCAGCAGCAGGACTTGGTGGATGGAATGATAGGGTGCTAGCTCTTACCATATGCATAGTGCTGGCCACTGGGCACTCTCTATACAGATGACCCATTTTCTCCTTTATCACAACCCTGGGAGGTGGACAGTGCCACTGTCCTCATTTGCAGGAAGGCAAGTGAGGCACAGAGAAGTTAGATACGAGACTTGGGTGAGGTCATACGGCTAGACCCTGGCAAGGCAGGGACTCAAGCCTACTGGTCTGGCATTCATGGTGACACATGCTATGGTGAAGGGCATGGACACCAGCTTGGGACAGAGAGGACAGCTAGCACAGCCAAGGGGCTGGGGAAAAGCCTCACCAAAGAGGGCAACTGAGAAACCAAGTCCAACCTACACTTAATCCACGGTACGTCCATGATAGCAAACTTTGCTCCTGCTGCCCCTTGGTGCAGTGTCTGTGCAGCGAGGCAGGGGAGGTGCCTAACAGCTGGCTGTGTGGGGAGATGCATGGGTGTACAGAGGTGCACAAATCACTGCAGACCTGACTGATGTGCAGGATGTGGAGCGCGCTGGAATAATAAAATAGGTAACACTTTATGGTAAGTCCCACAGAACCAGCGAGCATCGCCAAATGCTTTCATCTGACTTCTGTCTACTCTTGCTTTCATGGTCAAGGAGAGCAGCTCCACAGGACTGCTGGTTGCTAGTTTTGTTTACACGAACAAGTAAGAAAAAAAGGAAACAATAAAGACATACATTAGAACTTCAGGTGAGCAACTTGGCTGAATCCGGGCATGCTTTTCACTACTTGACAAATATTTTCTCAGTTGTTTGTGCTAGTCAATATAATGCTACAGACATGACATACTCTTACACTTAACCCTCACTGTTAACATTTTATCTTTTACTGTCTGTATCATGTCTAGATGATCTGTAAGATGACAACAGTAAGTCAAGTCCTGATTGGTGGTGTTTGTCACTTTTGATGGTGTAAATCCCCCCACTGCGGTCCATGGGAACCCTACGCTGTAACATCCCAAGTGCAGCTGGTGAGAGTGCACAGTGGTACCATGTCACCACCAACGGGAGGAGGGAACAGCTGCAAGACACAGGTGACAGTCAAGTGTACCAAAGAGTTAGTAAAGAACACACTTTTAAAAACTATAGGGCCAGGGATTTAGCTCAGTGGCTCTACCACCTGCCTTGCAAGCACAAGGTCCTGAGTTCAATCCCTGGTACCAAAACAATAAAAATAAATAGAAATAATAAAAATAAAAACTATAATACACAATTTTAATTCTAAGTCTGACTTTTAATAATGACTCTGTCATTTCCTGTACACTTAACCAGTTCTGGCGCATGGCTGCCCATCCCTTCTCAGCCCTCGTGGACCCACACAAACAGCACTCTTCCTGGGGTCCTGCAGGGGACACTAAGCTTTGCTGATAGCACAAGTCTGACTTAACTTGTACCATATCTTGCCACTATGATTGTGAGTCATCCTCACACTTGGTACAAGTGACAGCACTGGCTGACTGCCCCACAGGCTCCTGGGGATGCATGTAAGGCTGCAAGGGTGACATCATCACAACTTGGCCACTTTCAGCAGGAGGAGGCTGGACGTGGGGACACAGGTGGATAGATGCTACAGGTAAGTCCTATATGTAGCCCTCAATAGGGCCACTTGCTGTCTTGTGACAGTCTTATGTCCACAGGACAAAGATCTCAGTTCCTCAGGATCCAGGAACTCCAGAAGAGAAAAATAAGCTTTCTGAACCAGAGGAATTAATCTGGGACATAACCACTGTTGACCCTCTTCTTTTTCTGTCCCAATTAGGGCTCTGCAAACCTTCCTTTATGAACAGTAAGAGGGACAGAGGGCAGGCATGGACAGTACATACAGACACTCCCCGTCAGTTCTTCCTTGGAAAAAGATATGGTATACATGCCTAACTGAAACTCTTGAAGTCTCGGTTCCTAAACACCTTGGAGGAGGGAGAAGTTGGGAGTGTGGACCTTCAGCCTCCACACTGAAAGTCTGTGCAGGTTGTTAGTGAATCTCAGAAGCCTGTGTAAATTACTGCCTGGATACCACACAATATAAAGCAGCCCCCCAAATAAAGAAGAAACCAGGGGATCACTTGCTCATCAACTCCATAAGAGCAGAGGCCGTGCAGAGGATTCCAGTTCATCACTGCCCAGCAACTCTTCCTGGGTACCTGCCTCCTTGGCACCTGCACTGAGCTATCTGCACCACAGCTGGAAGGGCCCCCCAGTGACAGCTTCTTCCCCCCGACTTATTCATCTTGATTTGCACTGCCTGGGCCCATCTCTCACTAAAGCTGCCAGCACCCAGGGCCCACCAGAGGGCAATTTTAAAGGATGAGGTCTTCCCTTACTTTACCTTGTTGTGCCTCACTGCCAAGCCTCCACCATCCTACCACCCAACATTTCTTCCTTCCCTCTGGATCCCACAGCAGGGTGAGACCCACACAGGCAGGTGCCATGCTGTCCTGTGGCAAGGAAGCTCTGCTGTCTTTGTGCCCAGTATCCATCCCCTCCTCCTTCTGCAATCAGTAATTCTACCTTCCTTTTAGGAGCTGCCTCTCTTCTACTTCTAACCTGTACCACAAGCACTGGCAGGGTTGAACCAGATGCTGGCTCCAAAGGCAAACACCTGAGCTGGGTCTGGCCAATCCATGCATTCCATTCCCAGACACAGAGATAGTAAAGTGTGGTCATGGACAGACCAAATCATAAACAGCTAAGCTAGGCCAATAAGCTGTACTCCTAGGGTTTTGCTTGGGCCTACTGAGAAAGTAGCACTAAAATTAAGTTAGGAAAGTGAGGTAAGCATAAAGCTGCTTGCCAGAGCTTGCAGAAACTCTTCTGAGAACGGAGAGAAACAATCTCAAAGTACCTGGATCCAGACATGCTTGAAACATACCCCAGAATCTTTTATCGTATGAGCCAATGAGTATTTTCCACCAATATCAGTTTGAGTAGATTCTCTTATTTGCAACTGAAAGAATCCTGCTTTGCACAGGGTTCAAGAAAAGTAAATAACTTGATATCGAAGAAACATTTATATGGGTACATGCTTGTGTATTATGTTCAAAAACCACTCCAGGGAGCTTACCATATCTTTAGCAGGTTAAAGATGAAAACACAAAGCAGAATCAGGGAAGGGGAGAGATATGTTGGCTTGTTTTTCACTTTTAAAACTTGAGCTAGCAATCAGAGCACCAGGTCATTCTGTTCTGCCAGGTCATTGTGTGAGGGAACAGCAGGGGGTTCAAGACTCACCCTCATCTGTGATGGTGCCACTGCTGGAGCCCCCGCTGCTCTTGGACTGCCGATGGGACGAGGAGGAGGACACGGAGGACTCGGCGGTGTGGCCCTTGGGTGAAGGGGAGGGTGTGAGGGTGGGAGAGGTGCTTTTGGAGGTAGTTGACGTTCCGGATGGAGGCCGTTTGCTAGTCTCCAATTTCTGCTGAAGAGAATCGGACAAATAAATACACACACCATCACCTGGAGGGTACAAAGGAGGAGAACAGACAGACGCCCATAACAAGGAACACAGGTAGGATCTGATGCAACAGGCCGTCTAGCCTGAACTACAGAATCTACTGCACATGCATGCACAGCAGAAAGAGCTACAGGAAAATCCACCCCAAAGCAGAGGTCTCCCTGGGATACCAAGAGGCACGTTAAGGATCAGGAAACCCAGGCACTAGTCCTGCCCCTAAAGCTGTGAGCACTATCTGTAGAATTTGTATCTTAGCAATACTGAGCCTCCATCCCTCCATTTATATAATCTCTCTTGATCAGCATTTTGTAGTTTGCAAAGTTTTGCATGTTTTGTTAAATTTATACCCAAGTATTTCATTCTCATATAATTTCTTACATTTAAATATAGTATAATAGATTTTTAAAATGTTAACTATGAATATTCTAATTGTTCACCGCTAGTATAAAGAAATACAATTGACGTTTTTATATTGAGCTTGTATTCTGAGACCTTGCTAAGCCCATTTATCAGTCCTAGCTGCTTTGGTGTACATCTTTGAAGTTTTCTATGTAGATGATCATACCATCTAAGAGTACAGCTTATTTCTTCTTTTCCACCCTGTATGCCTTTTATTTCTTTTCCTTGCCTAATACAGTAGCTACAGTTTCTGATGCATGAGACCTGGAGGTGAGAGATGACATTCATGCTCCTGACCTTATAGCAAAGGACTCAGGTCTTTTATTATCAAGTGTGACAGATATTTTACATCAAAGTCAAGAAGTTCCCTTCGATTCCTAGTTTGCTGGTAGTTTTTATCAAGAATGGATTTTTGGGCCAGGGATTTGGCTCAGTGGTTCTGCTGCTTGCCATGCAAGTCCAAGGAGCCGAGTTTGATGCTTGATACCAAATGCAATAATCCCAAATGCACATAGTACTTCAGAATAAGTGAGGCAAAAACCAATAAATCTGGAGAGAAAAAAACTAATACATAGTTACAGTAAGAAACTTTAATAGTCCTCTTAGTAGTTTACAGAACAAGTAGAGAGAAAATCAGTAAGGATACTGACTACCTGAACAACACTATCAGGTAACCAGACCTAAAAGACATTTACTGACATTTATATAACCTCCCATTCCCACCTACAACAGATTTTTCTCAAGTGTGCATGAGACTCACAGACTAGGGCATAAAACCTCAATACACTTAAAAGAATAGGAATAGAACTATAATAGAATGTAAGTAGGAATCATTAACAGAAAAATTTACAGAAAACACAAATTATTGCAAAAGAAACAATATACTTCTAAATAATAGGCCAAAGAGAAGTCTCAAAGGAAATGAAAAAATATTTAACAACTGTAGGATACAGGAAAAGCAGCATTTATAGGTAAATTTATAGCATTAAATGCTTGTACTTGAAAAAAAAAAGGAAAGATAATGAAAGTAGAATAATGAAAGGTTTCTGCCATAAGAAACTAGAAAAAGAAGGTAAAACTCAAAGCTAGCAAGGGAAGAAAATTACAGATAACTTCAAAAATCAATGAAATTTTTTTAAAAATAGAGAAAAATCAATGAAACCAAAATTGGTCCTCTGAAAATATCAATAAATTTGATAAACTTTTAGCTAGACTGATGACAGAAAAAAATACTATAAATTACCAATGTAAGAATGAAAAAGGAGATGTTCTTATTGACCCCACACATGAAGACAGGAATACTTTAACAACTCTACATAACAAATTCAACAACTTAGATAAAAGGAATAATTCCTTGAATGATACAAAATAAAAAGCTCACTCAAGAAGAAACAAATAGCCTGAATAGTCCTGTATCTATAAAGAAACTTAAATTAATATAATTTTGTTAAGTTAAAACTGTCCATAAAAAAAATGGTGGGTCCAGGTGGTTTCACTGGCAAATCTTACCAAATATTTATGGAAAAAGTAATACCAATTGTACGCAATATCTTCCAGAAAAACCAGAGACAGATATTATTTCCCAATTCATTTTATGAGCTGCCAGGTCAACTTTTCCCTTCAGTGCTTTAAAGTTGTTATGATATTGTCTTTGATTTGTGTGGTTCCTGCTATAATTCATATTTTTCTTTCTTAATATATAATTTCTTTTCCTTTTTCTGGAGGCTTTCAATATTTTTTACTGCCTCATTCTTACACAGTGAGGTATGTTCTTTTTCGTACTTTCCTATTGAGTGTCCTCTACAATTCTTGGATCTATGGATTTTCTATCTGTCATTAATTTGAGAAAATTCTCAGCCATGTTTTCTTTACTCTTCTCTCTCCCTCTTCCCATCTCCTTTTTTCTCTCTCTCCCCATCTCTCTCCAACCCCTTCCAGGAATTCCAATTATCTATATATCAAGCATCATCCTACAAGTTTTGCATGCTCTGGATTTTTTTAAAGCTTCTTTGTGTTTCAGCCGGGTAATTTCTACTGTTTCAAGTTCACCGATTCTTTCCTTGGCTGTATCAAGTGTGAGGAGCCTGTCAAAGACATTCCTAATCTTTTGTTCCTGTCATTTGATTCTTTCTTGATAAAGGATCTCTACTAAAATAGATACTCATATGCTCTTGTGTGTTCACATTTTCCATTACAGCCTTTAACATATCAGTTATAGTATTTTACATTCCCTGATAATTCCAACACCTGTGCCATACTTAAGTCTGATTCTCATGACTGCTTTGCTTCTCTGGGGTGTGGTTTTTCTTGCCTTTTTATTGCATAATTTTTAAAATAAAAACTAGACATCTTCTGTAGCATAATAGAGACTAAGATAAACCATTTTCATGTCTAGAAGTGAATATACCTTTTCTTCTACTAATCCTTTCATGCTCCCTCTTGCTAAATACATCCCAAAGTGGAAAAAGAAGCCCATCCCTTAAGTTTTGAAAGATTTTGTTAACAAGCTGCCTATACCGTTAAACATTCTTCCCTTTGCTTCCTGTAAATATATTTCTAAGGAGAGCTGCTGATTAAGCAGGAGACAATCGGTATTATCACTAGAAAACAGATTTCCTCCCGGCAAGAGCATAAAGATCTAATAGTCTGGATCCCGTGGGCACTACTGGGGAAGAGAGGAGGTAAATATAAGATTCTTTGGGTTCCCTGAAACTCTCCTACTGTCCTCCACATCCCTAGGCTGGAGGACTAGTTGCTGTGGCAGTGTCCCCTCCACACCGCCCAAGTCTCCACACTCTGCAATGCCACTCTGGGCACCACCTGGCTTCATGTGTTTCCAACAGCTTGACTGGTTTGCAACCCCTGCCTTCAGGTACTTCTAGAACATGTCAGCCACTCCAGCCACCAGTCAGACAGAGGATTCCCCCCAGATCAGAACTACACAGCAAGGTTCACCCTAAACTACACACCTGCAGATGCACAAGCTAAATAAAGGCTTTTTACTTGAAACCAGCTGATACCTATCTCCAGCAGGCCTGTGGGACTTCTCTACAAAAGGACTTCTCTCCCCAGGGAATGGTGGTATATCCCCTTCCATTCTTTCTGCATCTCTAACCCTCGTTCATACTTTCAGACATGAGGAAGCCAGCCTTGTGCATCCTGCCATTGCAGTGAGTCACTTTTCTCAAGCAAAGTATGAAAACCAGGTTCAGAGGCTCGTATTTTGAAGACTAATTTCTAATTCTTCCTAAGGGAGCTTTTGAAAGCAGTGAATGTCTCCACTTACTGCTGGAGTCTGTGACAGAAAGTCCACTTCTATGTCCTTTGATTTAGGGCAGTGGTTTCTAAGAGCTCTGGCCTGGGCTGGCTGCAATAGAGGCTCCGTGGGGAAACATGACTCCCTGGATCCTACACTGAGCGCTGCGGTCAGTTATGTGGGGTAGGGCCTAGAAACATTATTAAACATCTCCCAAGGTTATAGCAGATCAGTGTGCTAAGAGTATCAGGTGATGACTGGAATGTACCATTTCCCCAGTTTACCATTTCCTGAATGCATCCTTTGGCAGTCAATTTCCTTTCATCAGAAAGTATGTGTATATAAGTTACATATGACAGATATGGCCAACTAAGGTAACACTTAATACAATTTATAATTTAGACACCTATTTCCAATACCAACTATAGATAAAGGAAGCTAATACTATCTACCTCATCTAATAAGATCATCAGAATAGAAACAGAACATTTTAGACAACAGAAGAGAGAAAAACTATCTCAAAAGCCCCAGACTAGCAGACTTAATGAGTAGCAGTGAGTTTCCTAGCAGCAAATAAAAGAGAAATATAATGATTATATAAATTCTTACTATATGATAAAAGAAAGTATAACAAAATATCAGTAGAGACTTTTTTCTACAGCTGAATTCTAAAAGGAACTTAATTACATGGTTCCTTTACATATATAATTTTGAATATAGTAGAAAATAAGCTAGTGTATAGGAGAAGAGAAACATTTTCAGGAGCTAAATTATAAAAGAAACCTAACTATGGATGTGCTACTGCATAAGGAACTTTGAACAAAAGGAGAGCTGTGTAACCAAGAGTGGTTGAACAGAAAATAAAGGTTATTTCTCAGATATCCATAAAACATATATCTACGTGCTAGGGATACAGTCAGTGGTAAAGCACTTGACTACATGAGAAGGCCCTGAGTTCCTTCCCCAGCACCACAAAAAACAAACAAAAACCCAAAGACTCTGAAGGGGCTTCTGCAGTGGGCACAGGTCCAGAGAGAAGACTTTCTGTGATGTAGCTTTTCTCAGGGAACACACTTAGGTCATCTAGGAAGCACGCTGAACAGTGAGGTGAGCCTGGAGTTGGGGTGTTCTCAGAGGGGTAAACCATCTATGCTGCACTACCGAGAAGCATCTGGGGAGCCCTGTGGTGGAGAACTAGGAGCTGGCCCTTGGGACTCTCTCCGAACAGAGAAATCTTCTGGGGACACTAAAAGACTCCCCTAGAGTCGCTTGGAGAACTAGGAGCTGGCCCTTGGGACTCTCTCCGAACAGAGAAAGATCCTCAGGACACTAAAAGACTCCCATCTAGAGTGGCATTTAGGGTTTGTCATCCATTTGTACACTCCACAGACACTGGCGATGTAGTGACTATCCCCAGACTGCATTAACAGAGGAACCAGTAGCAGGGAGGTAAGACTCTGGCTATTCTTCCAGCCCTTTCCCTATGCTGTACCCTCACTTGTGGAGCACAGGCAAGCTTTTCCCTTGCCTGGGAATAGTCTCAACCAGACCCCTGCCCACCTACCCCTTCACCTAGATCCTTGTCCGTCCTTCACACCCCCCCCCACTCACATGTGGCCACATCTGCTAGTGCCAGGCACAAACAAGCAGACCCTTTGGAGATGCCACGCTGGATAAGTGAGGTGGGGCCAAGGGGTCCCAGTAGCTGCCAGCACTGATGGCACCTCCCAGGCTCCCACCCCTGGCCCTGGTTAGGACTCATCTGCACAACCAATAGAAGGAGCCAACAAAGAACAAGCACCTTGCTGCCAGGAATGCTGCTGTCTGCAGGAGAGACCGGGAGCTCGGATGGGTTAGACACCAGTGCAGGCCCCACAGGGCTTGACCGCTGGCTGGTCTTCTGTTCAGATAATCCAGCTGCTTTCTTCCTCTGGGCAGCGATCTGTGACAAGACACTGTCTACGATGCCACCTAAGGAAGCAGAAACAGGAAGGATCACCATGGGCCGAGTACTTACTGCCACAGAGGCAAGTGAGAGCTATGGTGTGCTGGCTTGGCTGAACTTCATCTCACAGACACCCTGGCCTGTGCAGCTAAAGATCAGGCTGACCAGAGGAGAGTGCTGCAGGAGAGCCAGAGGTAGCCAGGGGCAGTGGCCATGACACTGCCAGGGCAGCATGCTGAAGCTGGGAGGGAGGCATGTGGGTGAAGTCCAGTGTGGCCTTGCTTTTCCCTGCACCACCTTGTCAATAAATTCCTAACTCCATGATATGCAGAGTGATCTGCTTTCTTGATTGAATCCTGATAGCCATTTTTCCCCTCTCCCTGTTTCCTTGCATGTAACATAACAGTAACCTTGAGTTATCAGCAAAGACAGGGAAAAGGAGTAATACCTAGGGCTGGGCATACTCAGGGGAGGCCACTAACAGCTAATATTTATGGAGCATTTACTGTGTGCCAAGCACTGCTGCAAATACTTTATACACATAAACAGAAGGCCCTTCCAGAGGGCAAAATACATCCAAAGCCTTAAAAACAGGCAAACTCCCTGACCCTGAGTACAGATTCTAGGGAACTTATACTAAGGAAAGCAAACAAGCAAAGGTAGAAGCATGAAGGTGTCACTTGGTGGCATCATCTACAAGGGCAAGGACCTAAGAACCACAAGTGGGGACTGGCCACACAAATGGATATAAGTATATCAGCAAAAGAAGGGGCTCGCAGCCCTGTAATGTGTGGAAAAAGAAAAAAGCAGCTCACAGAGCAGTCTACAGCCCAATAAGGTGTATGTCTATGAGAACGGGTTCTGCAGTCAGGGTGACCGGGTTCAGCACCTGGCCCTGCTACTGAAGAATTGTGTGACCTCGGGTGTTATCTGACTGTCCCGAGACCCAGTTTCCTTGTTTGTAAAATGAGGATGATAACCCCGCAGGTTGTCAGGAGCCCTGAAAGAGATCGCTGATTTAAATGGCTTTGCAATGTGTCTGGCATAGTACTTAATAAATTATTATTCTCTTATAAATATTCAGAATATGCATAAAATACTTTGCAAAGACATACACCAAAATATTAATGCTGGTCCCTAGCGGAAGAAGTTGTAGCATTTTTGGTCTTTTGGTTGATCTGGCCTTAAAGCTTTTCCACCAGAATCATGCAGCCTTACGCAATGGCATAACACGGGGCCCTTCCTGCAGAGCTGGCTCTGGCTCATGCTGGGTGCCCTAGGGGGGGATTAGGAAGTCTTCTGTGAGCCAAAAGAACGGCAGGAACTCCGGCCAGGGATTTAGCTCAGTGGTTCCACTGCCTGCCTGCCTCGAAAGCTCTGAATTTGATCCCCAATACAAAAAAAAAAAAAAAATCAACCTGCAGAAACTCTAGTCTGAGGCTTGGTTGCCACCAACTTGCTTGTGACACTGAGCTTCAGTCTCCCCATCTCTTCAATGAGAGGGCAGGATGGAAATACTCTAAGTCTTAGCCTTCAAGGATTCTAAGCACCATGAAAACATTCTGCTTTTCTCTTCATTTCTTATAAAATTTTACAAAGGAAAAAATGCATTGTTGACTCCATTTCTTCCCTCTCCATCCACCCTCACTCCAAAGAAAATACATAAAATACTACATCATTAATTCACTGGAAAACCCTCAGTCACATCAGGAAGGAAGTCACTCATGTGTGCCACTCTTGGGCTGTGCACAGACTGGGTGCAGGGCGGCTGGGCCCCTCAGCCTGGGCTCCCTTTTCCCTGGAGAGACTCTGCCCTACGCACCTGAGCGGTTATGAAGCTCTGCTCCATGCCTGCTCACACCTCCTACTGCGCTGGAGCCACCGGAGGAATGAGGCGAGTGGTTGAAGCTTCCAGAATTGGCAGGAGAGGCTGGACTCCGGGAGAGACTGGGAAATTTAACTGGCCTGACGAGGGTCTGCAACAACAAGGTGGTGTGGTGGGAGGGCCTCCCGTTCCTTCCCGCAGATTCAGAGAACCAGCACCTGCCTGGCACACCCCTGCCAATCGTACTCAGCCTGCTGGGAGGCCCCTAAGGGATGGGCTTGCTTCTGTCTTCTACAGAATGGGTTCCAGAAAGCCATTAGCTCAGGCTGGGCCCCTGTGACACTGCCTCCCACTGATCAACCTGCCTTCAGCCTCACTGAAATCTTCTAGGCCAAGAAGAAAACTTGACCATGTCATTCATCAAAAAGTTGAAGAAAGCCCAGTAATACAGGACAAATCATTCCCTCAGCAAAGCCTGTCGCGGTGACCAACTCTACTCCAAGCTTACCGCTCTCCTGCTGCCCCTGCTGGTCCATGCCTGGAACATCTCCTCTCCCACCTTACGGCCTGCATGGCACTCTCAGAAAGTCTTTCTTGACCCCTTGGCTCCTAGGGCAGCACGCCTGGTCACCTTCCTCTCTGACCTCAACAGCTCTGCTCATTCTACTCCTATCATGCAGACATCTGTGGATTCCTGGGCAGTCTCTTTGCCCATGTACTGGTTCTGCAACAGCTTTGACCCTTGTCCTTTAAGGTCTGATGGCCTGCCCCACCTCCCACACACACTGCTCCCCTCTTCCAGCACCCTGATCATTTACAGTAGCTCTTCGCACAACTTATGAGTACTCATCTACTGTGCCCCCCCACCGTGTACTTGATCCCTGAACTTCCCAGGGAATTTGCTCTCCACTGTACTCAAGGTACCCACTCTGGCCTGCACATCCTGGAGGCACTTGGGAAGGAGGACTGATGGCTGGAGAGGGCTAAATGGCAATCCCCCCCCAAAAAGTGCCCCATGTCCTAACGTCCAAGACCTCCAGATATTAACCTACAAGGCACAGGTGACTATTACCCTACACATGCTCATCTTAGATGGGCCTAGGAGTTTCCAGGAGCAGAGCTTACCCTGGATCACCTGGGTGACCCCAAAGGCAGCTGCATATCTTCTAAAATAGAGAGGAGAGGGAATTCTGACAATACCATGGGAGCAGAGACTGAAGAGATAGGTTCACTATCTCAGAAATGCCTAGAGCCTGCAGCAGCTGGAGCAGACAGAGACACTGCTAATCAGAGGGAACATCACCCTGCAGATACTTTGCTTCCAAGCTCAGACCTCCAGAACTGAGATGGTACATTCTGCCATTTTAAGGTTTCTAGCTTCCAGTGATTTGTCACAGCAACCACACACAGCTCCACCATGAGCACTCAAGGAAGGGCTATGGCAGAAGGGAGCACATGCCTGCCATGGCCTCATTCCCAGGCTCTCTCCTCTGCATGGGGGAGAAAACTAAAGACAGAGAATCCCAGCTCCTATGTCATGGCCTCCTGGGCCCTCCCTGACTGCCCCTGCACAGCCCTAGCACACACATTTGGTTGCTCTGGCTTCCGACACACACCTCACCCAGCACCCTGCCTCCTGGTCTGTCTCAGGTGCCCAGCTCTGAGCCTCCTTTAGGGCAGGCCTGGGCTGACCGCACTTCATGTGCTGAGTAAATGAAGCAGGTGATACTGGGGTTTGGTCCCTCTGGGGTTATTGACATTCTCAAGAAAACACAGTCCTGGGAAGAACTCTCTGGGATAGTTCTACGACTCCTCCCACATTCCTACCCGACCTAGAACAGCTCTGGGGCAAGGGAGCAGGGAGCACAGGGGCTCAGACCCGCCCTACAGACAGAGCCAGGGGCCCTGAGTTTCTCCAGCAGCAGGGGCAGTACAGACACAGTGCGCATGCGCAGTCTCCCGCCCTGAAGGAAGCACCTGGCCCGGGTCACTCCAGTAGGTGGACACTACTATGGGCAGAAGGGCAGAAGTCTCACTCCCTTGAGAGAGCACCGGCAGAGCTGCCTCCTGCGTTAGCACTCGTTCACGGACCTGAGCAATGCTACCGCATGGGACTCAATCAGAAGCCAAGAACATGATTTCTGGTTCCAGATGCACTCCTTCTGGCTGGGGATTGGCAGCAAATCACATCCCCTCTCTGGGTCCCAGTTCCTCATCTACTAACAGGAAAGTCAGAAAGATAAATCAGGTCTTCAAACTTTGTTTTCCAGAGCTCCAGCATTCTAGAGGCAATAGATGCTCCCCAACGCAACATTTTAATCTCTTTGATATAATGAGTTCGTTTGTAGGACTTAAACAGACAAGGATATCACTCACTTTCAAAAAACATAAAAGTTCTGATCCTGGGATTAGTTGGTCTGAAGTCCCTCTGCCTGCACTGCACCCCACCTCAGCAGGTGACACTTAGAAGCCTGTTGGCTGGATGACTTACGGCGTCTGCGCCCCCGCTGCCCGCAGGATGGCCCCTGCTGGCTCTCTGGGGCAGCACAGTCTTCATGGGTTCTGCCTTCCCGTTCTGACAGGTCCTGGACCGATCAGAGCTCCACAGCTCGAAGCTAGAAGGGGGCAGGAAAGGGGGGATGACTGCCTTCAGCTTGTCACTTGGAAGTCTCGTAAAAGGGGCTCCATTTCGAAGCTGAAAGAGACAAGCCGAAGGTTAGGTGTGCACAGGAGGGCTCCAGTTCCACGGAAGTCTCCAGGTTTTCCCTGCTTCTCACAGAGCTGGCGCTACCATCCATCCTGCCACCCAATCTAGGAATGCAGGCAGTGTCCCCAGCTTTCCTCCTGGAAGCCATACAACACCCACCTGTGCTATAAAGATGAGAACGGATGGGGCAGAGGGGACAGGGCTGAGGAGGTGTAAGAGATGTTGGTGTGGGGTGGGGGCCCCATGTGTCATAACAGGATGCAGGGGTGAAGACTGGACTGAGAGATCCCAAAGGTAAATGCAGCGAGAGCATTCCAGACACACAGGCTGTGGGAAGGCCCAGGACCCAGCTGAGCCAGGCAAGGGTGCAAACTGCCAGGAGACCAAGGCAAGCAGCCAGCAGGCTGGAGGGAGAGGGGCAGGGAATGCAGGCTGGCAGGCCACTCCTTCCCTACCCTGCGTCCTCCAGCCTACTCCAGCCTACTCCAGCCACGCCTCCCACTGCTGACATTTTCAGCAACAATTTAATTTTACATTTGAAAGTGTGATGCGGGGTGGGGGGGTCAGTATAAAATCCTCATAGCCATGACTGTTGGATTGTCAAGTTGTCCAGGCTCACTTTAATTAAGAAAAGACAGCGAACTGGGTGCCAGATGGTGCTTTGTGGGGATGGGCATCCCACAGCTAAACCCGCCTCAGGAGCTGGGCAGGCGGCATCTCTGCATCGATGACTTCGAACGCCCACTCAGCATCCACAGAGCCGCAGGGCATCTGTGTCTGCCAGGGGTAGTGAGCAGTGGGCACAGGAGAATGCCAGGGCAGGACGGGTTCCCATGCTGCTGTGCTGTTTTTCTGAAAGTCTGTGAGTAAGTGCTGTCCCACTGTACTCGACAACCTCATCCAGCCAGTGAGGGGCTGGGCTGGACACGAACAGCTGCAAAGCCACCACTGATGGGCACCCCACCCTGGGTCATGAGGCTTTATGGAAGTCAGTGACATTCACACCCTTTGACTAAGAGTTCCATTTCTAGATATTTACCCTGAGAAATAATCAGGAAGTGGGAGAAATGGAGGTATAAGGTCATTCAGCAGAGCTGCTGAAATAGTGAGAAACCAGAAACCCTGAAGTCCAACAGGTCAGTCTCAGACAAAGCCCTCCCAGGATGGAAAGTCCTATCGCGTGGCCATTACACATGATGTGTGGCTAAAGAGTGCTCAATGACACGGAAAAGGTGGTGGAGGCAAATTGTTAATAAACAGAGTGGAACACAACACAGAGAAGATGTTAATACTGTCAGCCTCACATGGTTCTGGGGGAGATTAAATAAGCTGATATATGAAGTGCCAAGAATAGTACTGGTATTTAGTCAGTGCTGTGGTATTTGCTATTATTATATATACACAACATGATATCATATTCATAGATGCTAAAAAATGCCTAGGAAAAATACTCAAAAGATATATACCACAAAATGCCAAGCACGATTCTATCTGGGTGCATGAGCAAGGGTGATTTTATTTTCCTTCTTGATACTTTACTGCACCTTTCAAAATGCCTATAATAGCATTTCCATCTTCGTACTGAAAGTAATTATTGCAACTTAATAACATGATCAAATGTCGGGCAGCATGAGCTCCCAGGATCAGTGTTAGGGCCACAATTTAAACCTGCTGGCACAGCAAGGGATCAGGGACACTGGCTGGGCACCTTACTGGTGACTTCCTCAGCATCCCTGTCCTTGCCAGTACTGCCCTCTGCTGGCCAGGATTAGGATTATAATGCTAAAGGGACTTGAACTGTAAGGTTATTTTCTTTTTCACAGAACACAAAGCCCAGGAAAATAAGGTCACACGGCCAAGGTCACACATCAGAACTTATTCTGGACCAAGTACCATGCTTAGTTCACAAATTAGCAGTCTCTTCTGGAGGTGAATGTTTAGAAGCTCCTAACCATGAGGCATCATTGCTATGTCAGAGTCAGCAAATTGTCCACCGGTATCTACCTGAAGCAGCTTCCTTAGAAATGACATCACTGATATTTATAGGGGCACATGAGCAACCACCTAGAACAAAGACTTCCCTACCAAGCTTCCTCTGTAGCGGGATATGGCCATGGGACTAAATTCTAGCTGATTTGATATTAAAAAAACAACAGCGATGCATGCAATTTTCCAAGAAACTTCTTTAAAGATAGCTGGCATGTATCTAAGGCCACCTTTTCTCCCTTCCTCTTTCCTGCTGGCTGAAAAGAGGCAGTAATGACCAGAGCTCTGGCAGCCATCCTGGACTGAGGGGTGAACTTGGGAATAGAAACCACACATGGGAAACACACAGGTAGAAGGAAATCTAGGTCTCCTGGTCCTGAATTTTACGTACTTGAGAGAAACAGTTGCTGTCTTATTTGCGGCTCCATTATTTGGGTACTTCTGTTACAGCTGAAATGAATGAATCCTGATACATCTCTAGTTTATAAATTAGAGGTCTCTCCTAGGTTGGAAATGTTCTCTCCTCTCCCAACTCACCATAACCGAAGTGGTGCGTCTAATGTTGCCCACAAATACCTAGCCCTCGACTCCTTACCTAAGAACAGAACCAAGACTTACATCTGGCCACCAAGCACAGCACAGCCTCACCCATGGGTGAGGAGTGGCATCTGGTCTAATATTCCTTGGTGCCAGAGCTATACCCACTGTTACACAATCTGATCATCAACCACATCTGTGTCTACCACAAAGAAAGATAAACACTCACATTCCTCCTCCAAAATCAATCAACTAATGATTGGTGGAGAACTAAAAATGCTTTTAGAAAAGCCCACACTCACCATGGTTGTCAATAATGCGTCTTCCTTTTCTCCTCTCATGCTCCCAGGACCTGAGAGACAAATGGAAGCTTCCTGAAATGACCCTCCCCTGTGACCATGGCATGAAGATGAGGGCTGGGGCAGCCCTCATCCTGGAAAGCCAATACACCTGGGTGATTAAATATTTAATAATCATTGGTATTCAATATTTTAATAGAAGGAAGCATTTAAAAGGTATCTCAGAGCATGTTTTCTGATTTTCCATAAACCACTGTTGTGCTTGGCCAGACAGTCAAGTGCCCTACTCAATAGTCTGTCTCAGACAGTGGTCCCTGGGTATGGGACATTTCACTGTTCCAGGGATCTCAGCTGATCGATTTTCCCAGCAGCATGGAAATCTCCTTCCGTAACCCGGCAAAGTCATACAATCTGTTGAATACTCCCAGGGATCTCACTACCTACCCTCCACAGGTAATGCCTTCTGTTTCGAGACAGTTTCAGTGCCGCAGAACAATCACATTTGATAGTGCAGAAAACCACGTACCAAAGAAAAGGGAGAAGCACTGACTGGCCTGTGACCATTTAGCAGGAAGTGTGGGGCAGGGACCTGGGACTCCTGTCGCTGCCTGGTGCTGCCCATACTCTCACCCCGAGCAGTAGTGTCCCGCTTATATCCCTTCCCCCGCAGCCAGTCACTCAGCTCCAGTGCTGCATTCCATCAGCATCCCATCCTTGGTGGCAGATCAGGAAGCAGCAGGTGGGACAAGGGCAGCAGTGTGGGATCAGATCATGGCGAAACTCAAGCTCACCCGCAGCCTTTTCTTACCTTTGTCTTTGGTCACGAGGGCTGCACTAGGAAGCCCGGGGAAGCCTGTCTTGTCCTGGGTGGTGGCTCTCATTGTGGAGTCCAGCGCTGGCTCAGGTTCATCGGTGAAAGGTAAGGGCTGGTTGCTGGACAGCCCTCGGGGCAGTGTCTGCATCAGTTTGAGCTTGCGGAACCGATTGGACATCCGGTTCCACCAGGACTGCGGGAAATGCAGAGCAGAGGCCAGGCAGGAAGAAGACAGAGGGACAGTGACAACACTCCACACACCTTTCCCCCCGCTCACCTGGGCCCACGGCAGGCATCCACTACTGACAGGACCGCACCCCTTCCAACAAGCAGAGGCTGCTCCCAGGAAGGGGCCTGGGACTATTGGGGAGACCCTGAGTAGCCCAAATGGCAGATGTGCAACACAGTGAAACAGAGGCCAAAACAGATACCCTGTGGTGAGGTACAGTTCAGCCAGCTCAGGACTATATTTGGCAGAATTTTTTAAAACTTCAGGTTCCATAGCAAAATCAGTAATTTCTGGTTTCTCAGAAAAAAAAAAAATGAAAGATTTCACAAGGAACCACATTCTTGCAAAGCAGCCAGTGCTACCCCTGGATGGTTCTGATCATCCCAGTTTTCCCTATCATTTCCCACCACTTACCCCCAGCTTACCTGCACAGCCTTTCTGGGACCCCCAGCTAAAGCAGCCTGGGCAGAGCACAAAGCAGCAGCCCACACCCCCATGTGCCACCTCCCTGGCCCTCTAAATCTTTAGGATAAGCAGAGGCGAACCTTCAGGCCACCCTTGTCATCAGGCAGCACTGGGATGCTCCACGGCTCTCTGACCTTTGAGTGGGGCAGAGGCGGCGGGTGGCTGGGCCGGCCTTTGTCCTTATTCACCTGCATACAGACAGATGCCAGCAGTCGAACGAGTTCCGTGTCTATGGGCACAAAAGGGAGTGTTTTACCTGCAAATACATCTGTCTGGCCATGGGGAGGGGACCCAAGATGACTCTTGTCAGCCTTAGAAACCAGCCCTGCCGTGTTTAGGAAGTGTAACTCCAGAGTCACAAGCTAAACCCCTGCCTCTCCACCTGATCTTCAAAGATGGCAAAACCCAGGACTTAATCTACTTCACTAGGAAGAAATACCAGAAGCCCTTCTCCCACTGCAAAGGCAGAGGACAGTGTCAGAATGCCCAGGCTCTGCAGCCAGACTTCAGTGAAGGCGCACATTTGGCCTCTGCCCCTCCCAGGCTGTGTAAGCGCAGGGAAATTATTCAGCCGCTGTACGCTTAATTTACAAGGAGGTGACATTAACACCCATGACACAAACGTGTCTCAAGGACTCAAGGCAATTCCTCTTGAGTACTTAAAGTACTTGGTGCGTGTAAAAGCTTAAGAGAAGTTAAGCACTATTAGTTATTATTAACTCAACTAGGTTATTAAGAAAAAAAGCATTGAACAAGATTATGAAGGAAATACTTGGGGGCTGTGGTGTAGCTCAGTGGTAGAGAATTTGCCTAGCATGCGCAAGGCTTGAGTTTGATCCTTAGCACTGTGAAATATGAGAAAGAGAGAGAGAGGAAGAAGAGGGGAAGAGAAAGAGGAGGGAGAGGAGGAGGAAAGAGAGGGAAAAAGAAAGATAACAGACTCGGCGCTTTCTGGCTGGGCTGGTGTATCCATGTGCTGCACAGATGGGACGTACAGCTCCACCAAGAGACGCTTCTGTGCTCTGGACCCTTCCACACCCACTCTACAAACCTGCTTGTCTACCTATATCCTTTATAGCT